CCTTTTTTTTTTTTTGAGATGCATAAATGTCTGCCTGCTACAATTGAACTAAATGGCAGCCATATTGTGTTGCTCAAAGTGCCTGTAATGGATTAAAAACCTTAAAACTTTTTTCGTGACCCAGTTATTATAAACTTGTGCAGACCTCTGTTATGTAAAAAGGATTTCCTTTCTGCCGAGCCGCCTGCCGTTACTATCACTGTGTAGAAGGCAGCATCCATCTGCCTGTAATGAGAGGCTCATGGTTGTGACAGCAGGAGAGGATGTTAACATTAATATTGCCCCCCTTGGCTGAGCTCTTAGCTGCGCATATCTTTTGCTTGGCAGATGTAGACAGCTGGTAGTACAATTTGTTTTCATTGTAACCAGCTGGACATGAAAGTTTTCTGATGTTGGAGAAATCTAATCAGCCCAAAGCTGAGTGTGCTGCATGTAACTGTTATGTAACTGTCTATATGAGTAACTAGTAATAATAAAATGAAAACAAATGGGTAGCTGTTCACTGGGTTTCACACGTATCACATTTAGTTGGCTCAGTTGGCTGCAGTCAGATTAATGCATCCAAGTGCTTTAAAAATGGTATAAAATTGTATTTTTCTTTTCTTTTTGAGCGCAGTTTAAATCGGCTCATGCATTTTCTGCAATATTAAAATTGACAAACAAGCGGAGACACACACACACACACACACAGTTTTGGATGTTGCTCTGCTCATATCTGTAACGCTTTCTTTCAGATAAAGCTTGCATACTGCATTTACCTAAATGTATCTGTCTACACTTGTATTTTTATTGATGATTGTCCTTTACTTTGTTCATTATTCTTACTTGAACCTGTTATGTTCTGCTGCAGTGTTAATTCCTGATCTCTCCTACAGACTGCACAGAGGAAGATCCGGGAGATCATTCAGCAGGTCAAACAGCAGGAACAGAAGCACCAGCAGGGCGCCGCTGTGTCACCGCACCACTCCAAGTGACCAGCCGGGTGGCTCCAGTGGGCACCAGCCAATGAATGTAGCCCTCCCAAATGAACAGAGACCTATCCAGACTAAGGCCAAGGCCAAGGGGGACATGCAGGGCAGACCAGCAGCACCGGGATCAAAACCAAAGAACTTCGCTAGGGGGGACACAAGTGAGAGCCAAAGGCTGAGGGCATTGTGTGCACTGCCAGCCCTGTGAGAGCAGATAGATTGGGAGAAATCGTACTGAAGCTTAAAAAAAAAAATTAATAAAGAAACAAAAAAGACCAAAAAAAAAAAACCTACAAGAAAGGCGGAAATGGCAGAAAATTTGGGAACTGTTGTCTTCACGGTTTAAAAAAAAACTAGTTTGTCTCCCTGCATAACGTTATCTCTTTAGTTGGACTAACATAGGCCTAAAAAAAGAAAAGGAGAAAATGCAACTCTATTTTAACACGAGCGTGTACGAGGCATTGTGATTGATATTTTGGGTTAGAGCGAGAGCCAGCGACAGCGGACTCCTTCTCTCACGCGTGTTTGAGATATTTAGATTGTGAGATCAAATATCCTTAGCAGTATTAATGCAGTAGAAACGTGTATGGATACACACTGAGAGCATGCTCTGTTATTTTATTCATCAAAATGACAGTAGAGCTTGGTGTTAGTATTTTGCTTGTACCTGAGATTGATTGACTGAGTAATCGATTGATTGACAGCCTCCCCTTGTTTGTTCCCATTTTTAGGCCACTGAAATTTGAAAAGAAAACCCCTATAAGTAAATAAGGTGAATGGTTCTGAGTCTTTGTAACAAGCCTGTGTGTGTGCCAACGCAAAAGATAACGTCCCTTTCAAATATATCTCACCATTCATATCTGATACTAAGCTTATTTTTTTTTAATTTTTCTCTCTTTTCTTCTAATTTCTGCTTCACTTCTCATCACTCTCTCTCATCGGACACCATGTCTTTTCTTTTGTTTTTGTTTGGGTTTTTTCTTTTTTTTTCTTTTTTTTTTTTTTAAAAAAAAATGGGATAAAATTTTTTCCGTAGCTTTTTGATAACCTTGAACTGACTGCCACTTTTGCTCAAGAGAGGTTAAATGCAACTGAGGGATTTTTCTTTTTTTCTTTCTTTTTTTTGTAATCAGTAAAATTCTGTCATGCTGTGCAGTAGACGTCGTCTGTGTTCACGCTCGTCGTCTCCTCTTTAATCAGAGCAAAAACTGACGTCTTAACGAGCGGTGCGCGTTCGCCCGTTAACCGGTCTTCTTCGGACGCGCGCCGCCACACGCTTGGCCTTATGAGGACGTCGCAAGGGCCAGCACAGAATGTGAGCTGAGGGCCCGGTAAAGGAGGGGGACAGGGTTCGGGGCAGGGTTGGGAGGGTTAGGGGGAGGGAGGGTGCAGACCTCTGGTGTGTGGGGTGGCAGCGAGGTTGGATTTTAGGGAGGCGCTGTATGACCTGTGGTACACGACCAGCCGCAGCCGCGTTTGGCTTTAACCCTCTCTTGTCAGGGAGCTTTCTAAAAATGGCATGACAGCTGTGAATGTACAAAATGCAGCCTTTTTAGAAAAAAATACAGATATCACCCCTGCCGTGTCCAGCAGGCCAGGCCAAACGGCACACGACACAGATTGTCATCCTCTTGCTCTCTGTTCTTTTCCCTTTTTTAAAAAAGATTTTTATTAAAAAATTTTATTTTGGCGAGTTGGCCGCCTGCTCTGCGGGCACGCTGGACACGCAGGTCCTGGTGTCCCTTTGTGCTTTACTTTGAAGAACATAGAAGCTTGTTGCCTTATTTTGTCACCTTTCATACATCACCCATCAGCTTCATCTTCCAGACGCAAGGTTATTGCCAATACGCACAGCTTCCTCCGTGTGTGTGTGCGCGTGCGTGCGTGTGTGTGTGTATATATATATAAAAAGAGAGAGTAATATTTATGAATCTATTTTTTCCTATTTTGTCATGAGAGCTATTGATAAGAAACAAAAAGAAGACAAAGTCCTTTTCTTTTTTTCCTCAGTGGGACACTGCCATATTATTTTGAAGGGAAGTGTTTATTTTCTTGAAAAAAAAAACTAAAACAAAAACTAGACTATGAATAATAATATAATGAATAAAAACCTGAAAAAATAGGAAAGCAGTAAAAGTGAACCACCGCGTTAACTTGTGGTCGGGATGTGAACAGTGCGCATGTCAGTATTGTGATCTACCTCAGGCTTCAGGGTACCTCAGTCCAATCTTTCATTTCTCCCTTTTTCCACATTTTTGTATGCCTTGTTAACTAATCATTTTGAGCGTTTTTAATTTTCTTTTTTAATGAAATAAAAAAAGATAAAAGATCTACAGTAATCTCTACTCTCTTCAGGTCCAGCCGACTAGTGAAACTTTGTAAAAGAAAAAATCAACTAAAATAACCGTAGTCAACGTTGTCGGACTGTTTGCCTGGACGCCATACAACCTCTTAATGATACAAAAGAATTTCCAAGTCAGTTTTTTGTTTGTTTTTTTTTTGTTTGCTAGAAAGGAATGAAGAGCAGGATCTAAGGGGTACATACCTGCCCGATGTGGTTCTGAATGTGGATGTTGTGTACTGATTTCACCTTCAAAGAAATTAAAGAGAACGAAAAAAAAAAGAAAAATCAGTTGATAGAAACAGAAACTAACCGACTGTACCTCCTGTTTTTGTTTTTTTTTGTTTGTTTTTCCCAACCGTACCTCCAGGTTTTTTGAGACTTTTAACAACAAACCACGACGTTTATTCACTTGTGGAAAAAAATAACATAAAAAAATTAATTACTTTTGTTTTTGTTTTTTTATAACAACCCAATTTTACCAGCTCTATTTGATAACAGCATCCTCTGGGGTTGATTTGATGAAAACACAAAGCTGCAAAAATACACTGACAGGACTCTTGAACGTGGTGTGAAGCCCTAGTCTTCTGTGTAGAATGTAGAACAACTCTAGTCGTTGAAATGTCACTGTGTACGACAGGATAACTGTATATCTGTAAACATGTACAATAGTCGCACATTAATGCATCGTTTTCTGTCTCTCTATAACACCTACAAGTCTGCGCCTACATTGTGAGAAATGGTGGGAGAAGTTTAGAGCGTCACAGGCTCCCTCAAGCTGACCTCTAAATGGTTTTCTCATCGATCTACCGGTTATTACATTTATTTTTTTTTTGTGCTGTACATTTCAGAATTACCTCTGAATCCAAGGCTGACTTAGTTACAGTTACTAAAACCAGTGTAGGGTAAAGGAATATAATAAATAAATGATGTAGTAAAAGTTAGTTTGTTTTTGGCACTATTTTAGGGATTTTTTTTTTTTCCATCAGATGAGGATCCTTTTTTTTTTTTTTTTTTTTTGGTCCCAGTGAACACAGATTAGCAAAATAAAACATAAAGGTCTATCAAACTCACACAATGCCTGGGGCTGCTTCAGCACGCCTCCACCACAGCCGGTACAGTACCTCATACTGATGATGTTAGCTCGCCAGACCTGATTCAATTACCCTGACCTTACCCACACGAATGCAGTACAGTGCTTCTGTTGGAGCGCTTGACTCCTGCGGTGGGCTGCTTCACTTTAGTAGGGCATGTCTGTTCGCAGTAGCACTGGAAAATTGAATCTTGTCACTTACGGTTTGTCTGACTGGCAGGAGTAGGGTTTTTTTCTTCCTTTTTTTTTTCTTTTTCCTAGAGCAGATTTGAAGTTCTTTTCTAGCATTGCAGAGGACTCCTCAGGCCTCCGCCTCTCTTGTGTTTTTGGCTCTTTACTAGAAGAGCAGGTTTCCCCTCAGCCACAATCTGAGGCAAAACCTGCAAACATCATAGTAACTTTCTTTTTTACTTCCAAGGATTTTGGTGTTTCTAGGTTCAGTAGGGTGTTGCTAGGCATTAATTTCAGTATCAGAAAAAACACACTCGCATCACTAAGGACGCACAGTGCTGTTAGTCATATCGCACAGCGGTTGAATAACTTAGGCTTTATTTCGTTTTCTGTTGATCTGGTTTTCTTGTCAGTTACACTGATTAAATGTAGTCTGGAGCAGTAGCTGGGATTCTTTAATATCCAGTCATGTTAGATCACTACTTGCTGTTAAATTGTGTCCTAGCTAGGATTTTAAACAGATTTTAAGATTGGGATGGGGGAGGTGGGGGGATAAGAAAAAGAAAATGCAAAGTAGATATGAGTGGGCAGAGTAACCAGGTCTGAAAATAAAAGTGCTGGTAAAAGTTGTTCTGCCTATGGGACTGAATATTCAACACCATCCAAATTAACAAAAACAAGTATGGATCAGGTGATGAAGGATCAAGTCTGGTCAGATGTGCAGAACCACAGCAGTGGTCTTTTTTTTTTTTTTGTTTTTTTGTCGTCCTAACTTGTGAACTGAGAAAAATGCAAAGACTTGCATGAGACTATTGCAGGCGATCCAGTATGTACTACACGTCATATAGCACTATACTTCAATTTGTGGTTTTACATCGATCCGACTCTTAACTGCTCTTCACCATTTGGGAGATTCCTTTTGTTTCCTCAGTAGGTCACAAACCCTCACGTCCTACATTTCCCACAGGCCAAAAGGTCCCAAAAACACCTCAAGGTAATTGGTGACTGTGCACTGGACAGACATATGATCCAATGTTACTACATCTCGTGGATCCGTGCCTTTCTGGTAACAGCCATGCTGTTGTTTTGAGTTGTGAGTGAACTGTATTGCTGAGCAACCTGGATCTGAGCAATAAAGAATATTTGAAAGAAAACTTTTCACGTTTTATTATTTCAAAGGTTTTGTTCCTCTCTAATAAAGGTGCTTTCAACACTTACAATCTGACACACCAAAGGTCAGTCACACTGAAAAAAAGCCCGATGTAAGTAAAACCATAAAAAAAAAATCCCTTCATCCACCGAGTGCACTGGAGCTTCTCCTCAGTGATTCTGTTTCATCTTGCACCGTGCACAAGATCACCAAGTATTAAATTTGAAACCCATACATTAAAACAAAATATACAAATCAGAAGAAAGACATTTTACTGCTAAACCAACAAAAAGACTGCAAAGAAAGATTTTTTTCTAGCAGGATTAAAGCTTCCAGTCACCCAAATTAACTGCACATCGGTTTTCAGACAATACCAGAGAACACCTTAACACGTTAAACACGTCCCATATAACAAGCCATTTAATCCGGTCACGCTTCTTTTCCAGAGGTCAAATTCTGGCCTCTAAATGACCCCCCCCCCCCAAAAAAGAAAGATTAACACTGAAACTGCAAGAAGCGATTGTCAAAACAATAAAAAACATAACATACTCGTATAAACCAAAAAGAAAAATCATAAAAGCCCCACAAAACCATCAACAAACATTTACACCATCTCTTTCTGGTGCTCATGGAGGTAGAAGTGTGAGTTCAAAACTCCACAACAGGCACTTTGAACACTTGCTTTCTGAACATGAGTGCAAGAGCAAAATTTCCTTAAAATGCCCCCCGCCCCTTCGTGTCACCACTGTACATTCCTACATCTATAAACATTTACTGCTGTGCCAACATGTGGCACGGAAATATCTGGTACGACATAATTCTCCTCAAATACTCCCACTGTGATTTGTCCAGGTGGCTCTGCAACAGTAAAGCACTTTACACGTGTGTGTGTGTGTTTCATTCGCTCTAGAGGGCAGAAGGCATCAGTATGTTAACAAACAAACTCAGTCCCAGGATGGATCACTGGACCTTCTTATCGAGTCCATTCTGTGACTGGATGCCAAGTTTGAGTCGCTTCTGACTGAAGCGGCGGATGAGGGCACCAGGCAGCAGAGCCATGCAGGCGATGGCCAGCAGCTGCAGGAGCCGCTCCCAGGAGAACAAGTCATCCAGCGATGACACCTCGGATAGCATGACGCCTGTCTGGACGCAGATGAAGTTGTATGGCAGGAGGCCTGAAGAAGCGGACAATAGAGCAAGAACAAATTGTGCTGAAACACGATGGGTAACTTAATTTGCAATGACAGATGCAGCGTTGTGTTGTTGTTGCTTAACCCTGTAAGGCCCAAGAACCCATAATCCTAACCCTATGCTATCACATGAAAACTGTGTTTTTCCCCCCCTTTAAAAAACAGTTACTTGTTTTTACTCTATTACAACTCATGTGGTTATACCGGAGTGTTGGCATATGCCACCATATAAATTCTTAGTGTGCATATCTATGTAGAAACCAGGCTTAAGTCTGTGCTGTGAAGAGGAGTTTAATTAGGTTTTATGCAAGCTGTAGGAGGCCTGGCACGAGCTGGTAAGTAACAACATCACAATCAATCCGATTTTTATTTCGAACATATAAGTAATAATTTTGTTAATACCCTTAAAAACAAAAAAATCCATTTATCAAAATTAGTAAGGAAAAAACAATGTTTTCATGTGTGTGATGGGCGCTGGATACTAAGAGCCCACATGTGGCCGACACTGTTGCCAACATTTATACCTGTTCTGTTCCTTTTCTATTAACGGTATGATTTAACTTTCAACCTCAAAGTCAAAGTCAAAGAGGTTGTTGCTCTCTGTGCAAGTTTAATGACCATGACCAGATCAAAGATGCCTGCAACTCGTTTAAAGACGAGGAAATCAGTCAGTTTAAGTCAGATATGGTTATGATTTTTTATAGGCACAGAATTATCTAAATCTAGAGGTGTATTAATAGATATAGCAGAGTTTTCCAGGAAGCGATAATTCAAAAAGTTAAAGCTAATAAGCTTGGTTTTAGCCTGTCAATAGTGACTGACTATTTTAAAAGCTGAAGCCGATCGTCATCCAGTATTTTGTTTTCAATGTGGAGTGCTAGACGTACCTCACTTAGTGTCACCAAGCAGAAAATCTGTGTGTGCTTACCAATGAAGACTGAGCAGAAAAAGAAGGTGATGGGGATGTTTACAATTGGGGCAGACATATTCAGAAACCAGTTGGGAGTCATGGGAAAGAACCTCAGGAAGAGCAGGAAGAAGAACAAACAGTCCTGGTTTTCCTCCACCTGGAAGATAAGGAGAACAGATCAGAGGGGCTGGAGATATTTACAGAGGCAGGCGATAGGTGTGTCATTGTTCTCGTCCCCTGTTCACATCAACTAGTCACGTGCAAGTTAACTCATCAGCAAAACTATACCAAGAGTCATCTTTTCAAAGCGTTACAGTCAAGTAGTCCTTTTGGTGAATAATAATGCAAATCCAAATCTGGCATAACTCTCAGTATGCCAAACACCCACCAGCTACGAAGAAGCTCATCTTGTCAGTACATATACGTCCGTTAAAGGCCCAGCAGGCCTACCTTATTTTGCCTGTGCGCGTGGGTTATCTCTCTCTCCTGTCCTTGGCACCGCCCTCTGCAGCTGACTCCACTCAGCATTCAACACCAGGGAGTACTTTAGGTCAGGGAGAGCCACTGCTGTGTCAGCATGTGAGCTGTGCATAGGAGCGTGTTTGATCAATTCTCTTCAACTTATTATTTTTGTGACCCACACAGCAAAGCCATGTCTCAGGTTTTACTGCATTTGATCTCTTTCGGTTTAATTATTAAAACTTAAGAGAAAAAAAATTGACTTGATTGATTAAATAGAAGAAAATACATAACATTAAACATGTTAACAACACAAAAGCCATATTAAACGCAGACTACTTTAGGCCCGGAAGTAGGATTCGTCACGTCATCACTTAACAATCGGATAGACGTAGGCTGCCGGGGGATTCCCATGATGCATTGAGTTTTTCCTTTCCAGTCACCTTTCTCACTCACTATTTATTAATAGACCTCTCTGCATTGAATCATATCTGTTATTAACCTCTGTCTCTCTTCCACAGCATGTCTTTTATCCTGTCTTCCTTCTCTCACCCCAACCGGTCGCAGCAGATGGCCGCTCCTCCCTGAGCCTGGTTCTGCTGGAGGTTTCTTCCTGTTAAAAGGGAGTTTTTCCTTCCCACTGTCGCCAAAGTGCTTGCTCATAGGGGGTCATATGATTGTTGGGTTTTTCTCTGTATCTATGAAGCGCCTTGAGGCGACTTTTGTTGTGATTTGGCGCTATAGAAATAAAATTGAATTGAATTAATGTGCAGCTGTCAGAAAGAAACAAAAACAACAACAACACATAAACTCGTGAATTCACAAGATTAATGACTTCCTGCCAGCGTTGTCCTGTTGTCTTTTTTTTTCTTTGAGCCAGCAGTATTGCCTTCAGTGGTTACATATTTCATATTCTTTACAGATCTCCATCACCTGCTCTATCACCAGGTGTCTCTGACTGGAGTAGGTGGGACTCAATCTATTTTATGAGCAAGAAGAGTGATGTAGCAAACACCCCCTTTCACATAAGCACACATACAGCCTGAAGTAGAAAGGCCTTCCTAACAAAGAAAGCTGACATTGTGGTAGCTGTTATCTCTGAAATTTTAGGTTATGGCTGGCTCTGTGTCAAACTTTCTCCTGGGCTTCGTGTGAGAACACAACAATGTCGCTTCTACATATTTGACAGCAGAGTCTGAAATTACACCTGTCAACCATTTCTTCCTTTTCAAGGACAAGAAGTCACTGATTTATCAGATTCTATGTGTAAAAATGAGTATACTGGATTTCTAAAGTGATAATATGATATGGCCAATGTCTTCTTGTAGGAAGTATTATTGTTAATAATAGCTTGACAGGTAAAACCTTTGATTTTTGTAAATAAGATTAAGCGTAGCCCTCTTTACTGTTTATTTACAGCACACACAGCCAAATTAACAGTTGATCTCTGAGAAAACAACTTAATTTTAGTCCACCGGTATTTCAAAAACTTACTATCTTTGTTTCCTTCAGCGTGTTTTGTTTGTGTGACAGCCCAGTCATACCTTTCTCTGCAATGTGGAGACTTTATCTGGGAAGAGGTTCACAATGTAGTGTTTTCCAAAGAATTGGGAGAGGAGGAAGCACATTGTAGAGCCCACAGTTGTGAGCACACAGGCAAGCAGCAGTCCTTGATAGGGTCCAAATATAGCTCCCGCAAGAATGTTCTACACAATGACAAATGGAGACCAAAAGCCCGCGTTAATAGGCATCATCTGACACACAGCTCTGTGGCGTCTCTACATGCGAAAGGAGAGAAATACTTTGTGATCTAACACTGGTGTGAAGCCAGTATTTTGGCAGTTCTGCCCACTCAGATTGTCATTTGCATTATCTGAATATTCTTTTATCCTCCGCATTTATTTAAACAAGAGACACAAGCTGCATACCGCATGCTGCCCAAGTGCCTTTTGAATTTTCCTTCATCTTGCATGCAAATGTAATCTTTTCACACCTACAAGATGTGACACTTTTGGCATATTTTAGCCCATGTGTTCTCGTAATGTATTTAAACATACAAAATGCTTCATTAAAAGGATTTTACATGTGTTTTTAAGACAACCAGCACAAGAAATCTACCAGTTTTGTGCTCATCACAATGCTTGCCTTATCATCCTGGATCCATCTGTACACAGGACATTACCTTACCAGGAATGAGGATCCAGGAATAGCAAAGGACTGCTTGTAGAGATAAGCACTGCAGAAGAGGAGCAGGACATATCCAGTGTGCTCCGTCTTGTAGAACTGCAAGAGTTCAGCGAGTTCCCGGAGCTCCTCCAAGTCTGAAGGGAACTTTAACCTGTGAGAACATTCACATTTAAGTTAGTCATTTCTGTCAGGCCAGTTTCATGTTCACAGAAAGACTGGCAACACAGAAAAAATATCATTGTGATCAAAAATGTTTTAACTTAAAGTTACTTTTAGATTTAAATAGCCAAAAGAGTAACTCATGTGATTGCTGATGGGACTACAAACATGGTTCTATACCTATACTTATCTGCTAAAACTGATACCAAAACAGTCTTTTTACATCACTTAAAAAACTACAGTAAGCTATTTTTTAAAGAAACTGCAATTTTTTCTAACTACCATCTGTTTTACTATTGACAAATCTCACTTCAATCCAAGATAAGTACAAAGAATGAAGAGAGTTTCTTTGAAAAGTTCATTCTTTGTGAGACAGAGTCAAACAGTTAGCATCACACTGTTGCTGCAGATTTTGTCAGCTGCACATCCATGGATTCAAATATCCCATCCCACCACATCCCAGAGGTGCTCTATTAGATTGAGATCTGGTGACTGTGGAGGCCATTTGAGTGCAATGACCTAATTTTCATGTTGAAGAAACCAGATTTAGTGTATCTGACACAGTGCATTATTCTTCTGGAAGAAGACAATGGACACACTGCTGCTATAAAGGAAAGAACATGGTCAACAATGACACTCAGGTAGGCTGTGGTGATAAACAATGGTCAGCTGGTACAAAAGTACCCAGAGGGTGCTGAAAAATCTGCTTTGAATTCCAGCATCAGTTTCCTTTTCCTCTGTAATCTTCTGCCCTGTAGCCCATCTGATTCAGGGCTTGATGTGCTGTGAGAACAAGCCATGTTCACCCAGAGAACTGCCACTCACACAGTGTGATTGGCTGATTATATATTTGTGTTAACAAGCAGTCAAAAAGTGTACCTAATGAGAAAAAGTATTATTTTAGGCTAATGAATGATATGAGGATCCCATTACACCTCTTTCTATGAAGTATCTGAATGACACAAACACCGGAATGAGGTTTCCTCACTCAAAAATGGGACCTCGCTTGAAAACTTGAATGCTCTGCATGTAATTTAGGGTCCTGGCTTGGTGCAACTTTTATATGGGGAAAAATCGTGACTTGGTTTGGGATGACACAGCTTTGAGCGTGTCCTTTTTCATTCATTACCAAAACTACACTTCAGTGGGAAAAAAAAGGTTGAGCCCAGATAAACGCAAAATAATGCAGGAAGAGCTGGACACTGTTAATCTACTGTATTAAAACCAAATTACATTTCTACAGTAAACAACAACACAGCACTTGTCAATTATGACCTGATGACAACCCTCACAAGTTAAAACAGAAGCAAAAACTGGACTTGCTGTTTTAACTTTAGCTTTTCCAAAAGAGGCTTCAGTTAGAGTTAGTTAGCTTTTAGAGTCACTGCTTTTTGAAGGGGGGTTAAAAGCCTGCACATACGCTGCCTGTCTTTTTATGAGCTGCATGCTAACATTAGCTTACTAGTGACCCAACAGGGTCCAATTGAAATAAAGCTAAATTATGCACAGCATATAACAAAGCCCCAAACTATGGGTTACCAGACAGCGGCTAAATATACCAGTCACCTGCTGGGTTCTTCTTCGTCTAAGGAGTCGCCGGGCTGCTGCTGTTGCTCCTCGGACACATGTCCAGCCTCGGCGCTCCGGACAGAACGCTTTCTTGGTCCCGCGGGGAGGTACAAGGACAGGGAATATAGATACAAGCTGGCTGCGGCGACAACCGTAATTAGTCCTACGAGTGAACGCATGTTCCCCTGAGTTTGATAGCCAGAAAAAAGCTTCACGTCCCGGTTGCTGTCAGCGAGAATAGCAACGGCAAGAAGCGGCAACTAACCGCCGCAGTGACGTCACATCCCCATGTCAATAGAACAGTTAAAATATTCAAATTACTAACCCACTAGCACCCACAAGTATATCTTATAATTTAATAGTCAGATTAAAGTACATATCAATAATATAAAAGGCGGGGGAAAATAATTATTTATATTCTCTGCTTCCGGTAGGGGGCGATAAGCGCGAGTGTTTGCCGTAGAAGAAGAGCGTTTGTTTACACGGAGGGGGAGGAAGTGTGACAAAGGTGATGAAGGATTGCTAACTGGATTAAAGTCAAGTTTCAAAGTTCAGTCTGCACTGCAAAAAAGAGAGTGCGACAACTCCAAGTATTCATTCGACACAATGGCTCAGTACACTCGCGTTTCGGGATCCGTGGGCTTGATTACTCTCCAAAGTCCTCCCGTTAATGCACTCAGGTGAGCCGATTTAATGAACTTGGTCTGCACAACTTCTTATACTGCATTTTTCTATTTTTTAGCGTGTCTCGTAATGCGAATTCACATGTGCCTGATTGATTTTATATACAGTAGAGCTGTAGCTGCAACAGCAATTTGCAGCTTACACAAGAACAAGTAGAAAAGTAGAAAGTAGAAATCACGAAAGAGAGCTTTGTGCACCAGAAGATAGTAACTCAGGTGTTTTACCAGAGGGTGGCGTCAGAGAGAGTGATCCTCTGATTGCTGTTGTAAATGGCTTGAACCATAATCTGTCAAACATGAGTGATATCAAGTCTTTCTGTGCCAAAGTTGAAGTGACTGTTATGTCCTTTATTTATCCAGTAAAAAGACTTATCATACTTAATGTTTTTTTTAAATAAATCTGGCCAAGAGGGAAGTAGAAAATTAAAACAAATACCATATTAGTTATATAAAGATATTTTAATTTGCCATAAAGAAGTGGATTGCTTATAATGTCGAGCGCAGAGTCGCTACTTGCAAAACAGGTCCTTTGTTTATTTTATATACACCCCTTCATAAACCCTGGTGTCTACAGCCTGTTTACAAATAGACACAAAGGTTTTGTAGTTGGTACTTTTTATAGATGCTGTCTCATCATGCAGATTATTCCTAAACTGGAAGCTACCATTCTTCTGCATATAGAGTCAGTAGGTTTTCATACCTTTAAGTACATTTTAGTGATCGGTTAATCTCATTCACGGCATTTACTTCAGGGTGATTTATTACCACCGCTGCTTTAGGAACAGCTTGAGGCTTAATACATTACAACAGAGAACTGTGATTAATTAACAGCTCACTAAAAACTCACCCAACCACAGTGTGATCTACTGGACCCTGGAACCTTTACTGGACCTCACAAGTTTACTTTAAGTCACTTAAGCTGTAGCAATAATTGAATCTATTTACTCTCTAGTTATGCTATGGTTGCCCTGTTTTAAAGAGACATTTTCTCATCTTTTTTTTTTTTTTTTAAATTCTATTCTGATGTGTACCTTAAGATTTAATAGACTGTATGATGCATTTTATTAGCTTCGTAAGATAAAATTATCAAGAAATAAAGTACATAGATGTTAATTATCAAAGTTTATACTGCTGTGCCTGTATTTGTTACATGCTTTTATTTTAAATTTGTGAAGAAGGGCTACAGCAGAACAGTTTACTGTTAAGTTTCAAATTTCACAAAGGGTGGAAAAAAAGGCCAAATAAAGTTGTGACTTTTTCCTCATGCAGTGCAGCGGTGAGGCAAGGCATTGTCGACTTGATGCAGAGAGCACTCAGTGAGCCAGAGGTGAAGTCTGTGGTCATCTGTGGCCAGAATGGGATATTCTGTGGGGGTATGCACATGTATTTTTTATTTTATTTATTTATTTATTTATTTTTTATTTTATAATGTAAGTGTCTCTGTCTGCCCATCTTCTTTCACTTATCCTATTGAAATTATTTTTTAAAGTATATTTTAAAAACATGCTCCATGACAGATTGGATCAAGTTGATCCCACTTTGTTCTTCTGGTGTTTTCCCTTCAGTTTGAGTTCCCTTCAGAGTGGGTACCTCGAGTCCCTAAAAAGGGAACAAAGTGTCAGTGAAGTTCACAAGCAACCAAACATATTAGTGATACTCTAACAAAATAAACACATTTTCAGTAGGGGTTTTTTTTGCCCTTTTTATTAATTTAATGTTAATATTCCATCATTAAAAGGTGATTTGTTGCATACACATAATGCAGTAAACAATACAATACATGGCATTTGCAGGTGTAAACACAAAAGCAAAACCAGAAGTAAATAATTTCACATAGAAATAATCCTAAACTGTACATTTTTCAACTATTTGTGTCATTATGTCCACCATCATTTAACTTGGAGCTTATTTGCTTAACTGTTGTGTTTCATTCTATAAAATATGAAAAATAAGAAACGTGTTTTTTCTCAACTAAAACCCAAATATGTCTGTCAGACAAGGTTGAGAAAAGTAGAAAAGAGCCACACAAAATAATGAATTGCTGATCTGCATATCCATCTCTCATGACCTTTCTTTCTCCAAGTTTTTGATCATTTTGTCGATTTGAATTTATGCAACAGGAGCAGACATCAAGGAGTTTGGGGGACAGATGTCTGGGCCTCCCCTGATACCGATGATCCACGCCATCGAGGCTGCTTCCAAGCCCGTGGTGGCAGCTATAGAGGGGATCGCTTTAGGTGGAGGCCTTGAGTTGGCACTTGGCTGTCATTATCGGATCGCACACTCTAAAGTTAGTTCATGCTTCAGATCTCTGTCCCTGTCAGCCAGTGTCTCTTTAATATCAGCGATGTAACGCATCGATGTCTGTCAGTATCTGGCATGTTGTGAAGCTTTTGCATAATAATGTTTTTTTTTTAAAATAAATTTGCAAATGACTAGAAAAAGAGTGAGTTTGTCTGTCAGACTTGAAAAGGTTCTTATCTGTCCAGAATACATTTGATATTTATGTCACTCACAGAAGCCAGGCAGAATAACACATATCATATTCAAAGAATATTTCCAGAAACATTTTTCTCTAATGTCTAAACCTCCACAGTTCAGTACGTCTCGTTTATCAAATTTTGTGCCTTTATGTCTTTTCAGGCCAGAGTGGGACTTCCAGAGGTGACTCTGGGGCTGCTGCCTGGTGCAGGGGGAAGCCAACGTTTGCCGAGGCTCATCGGTGTCCCGGCTGCCTTGGACCTCATCACCACAGGTAGCAGAAAGAAGTTAACACTGTCTGACTTTGATTAATAAAGTTTCCTAAACTTGGCGACTCCCAGCAACTTTTGGTTTCTGAAGAAGAGCACGTCCTAAAACGTTTGATAATAAAGCACCCAGACATGTCACTGTATGCAGTCCTGCTAAAAACTAATGAGAAACTATTCAGTAGCTTGTAGAACCGCCTATAGAGGCAATAGTTTGACTTTATAGCCTCTCACATCATGTGTTTACAACATTGCTTCATTTCATTGAGGTTTGCTGGCATTTGAGTATACAGAGCTCTCTTAAGGTCTCAACACAGCATATTAGTCACTGGGCCTACAGCAAGTGTTGTAGATTTGCTGTTGTGGTTGGGCTCATCGTCCAGTTCAATGACCCAATTTTGGCCGAGCTTTAGCTCACGGACAGAGAGCCTCATATTTGACTCTAGAATACTTTGGTATACAGAGTCTGAATGATCAGCCCTTCACCACAGTGGTTAACTGTTGTTGTGAGGTGTTTGTGCTGATTTGCTGTGTTTTGTTTTCTGTGCATTATGACCAAACATCTCCACTTTGTCTTGTTTGTCCAAATCACATTGTTCCAGAAGTCTTATGTTTTGTTCAGATGCAATTCTGCAAATAGAGCCGTGCTACCTCTGGAGAGAAGAGGCTTTCTCCTGGAAACCAAACAAGTCATATTTGTTCAGTGTGTCTCTGATTGTACAACCATGACTTTAATATTTAACGAACAAACTAAGGCCTAAGATGTTGCTCTTAAGTTGGTTTATTTTCTTTTCTTATTTTTTGCTGTTTCTCTAATTGTTGCACGCTGTGACCTTGAGGTGAATTTGTTTGGATGTTGGCAGTCTGCCAAAGCTCCTGCTTTCATAGAAATGCTCACACTTGCTAATGATCATTTATTTAACTGTATTTGATTAGCAGCACCTGTCTGCTGCTTACCCCTGTAATTCCTATGGAAACAGCAAGGGTTTTTTTTTTTTCTTCACATGTGACTGAAAATAAAATCAAAATAAACCAGGAGACAGTTTACATTGATGACCAGCAGAGGTCAGCGTGAATTAACGTTTTACTATGTGATGCTGCAGGAGCGATTCACTGCCCTGTTCAGAATGTCTGAAATGTTCCTCACAAACTATAATTCTTCATCTTTTGATTTTTTTAAAAGTCTATTTTACTCTATTATGCTATTTAGTTTTGTGAGACGTTGCCTTTATTTAACTAAAACAGGAGATGATGTGGTTTTAAGCTAAGCGTCTAAATGCCAAGGTCACCTGAAACGGTCATCATTAATTCATATTATGTTCATCGTATCATTCATATGGAGCCTTGACGACACTCGTGTCTCCCACAGGTCGCCACGTGACTGCCGCAGAGGCACTGAAATTCGGATTAGTGGACCAGATTACTGATCACAACACTGTGAATGTAGCTGTGAAGTTTGCCCAGCGAGTCGCAGGTGAGATGTGGATGAAGGGGAAAAAAGAAGCAAATGGTACTCACTGGCTTATTATACTCTCTCTCTTCACTGGTTTAAAAATTGATTCTGTGGAAGCAGAGAAGAAATTCCACCTAGAGCAGTTATTTTAGGCGAGTCTGACATCAAGAAGCGCTGATATGTAGGTTGTGGAAGTAAAAGGAAGGAGAAAATGCAGCAGCCAGATCCTTCACCACAGAAGCCATAAATGTTTCATGGATCTGTCAGATGTGCTCTGATGTCTTCACTGCTTTTGCTGTATTATTCAGAAGGGCGAAAAGGGACAAACTTTCCTAGAATATTCATAACGGGCCCTCACCAGTCATTTTGGAGGATGAGGATTTCCCCCACACGTGCGTACCAGCCTCATTTACTCGCTGAATGGGCTGCGAAGTGTGCCACATCCCCGTAGTTTAGGATGATTTATCAGTCAGTGGAAAGAGCGGCCCATTCATATTTGCTAGATGGTGATAAATAGTGACAGAAAGCATTGGTAGACTCAGCCTGAATGAAAAAGTATGACAAAATTTTTCAGTCATCTAGTTTACTTTTTGGAAAAAAGCCTCAATTTTTACCGGTCTTTGCGCTAAGCTAAGCAACCTCATATTAGGCATACAGACACAAGTACTATGAAACCTTTCATCCAACACTCAGCAAGAAAGCGGAGAGGCATATCAGAATGTCCTATTCCCTTTATTCATTTGAGCATTTATGAGTGCTATATTCCCTCTAGTACTGCAGAATAATGCACACACCACCCACTCTGCTGTGTGGTTCGGTGAGGGGAAGGTACATTTTGTTTAGTCCTGCCTCGGCATAGCCCTGCGAGAGCTTATGTTTCTTCTCCACGAAAGGAACGTGAGATGATGTTTTCATGACTACCCTGTAGGGTGCGTGCTAGATTTTTTTTTTTTTATTTATTTATTTTTATTCCAGAGATGTCATCTTCATCTCTGGTGAGATTTCTTGGCAGTGACGGCTCATTTCGAAGGCATTTATGTTGGCAGCAATCTCACTACATCTGCACAAAACGTCAACAGTTAAGTCTTTAGGTTTGATTTACAATCAAAAGATGATTACAGTCTTGTGCTTTTTTTTTTTAAAAAAAACATTTTTTTTACACAAATGTTTTTTGTTTTTTTCCCTCCACACTCTACTGCCAAGTTGACTTTGAGTGGGTGAGGAAGTGAGTGTTGTTGGTAAAGCCGAGGCTTAGAGTGAGTCAGACGGAGAAGCCAACGGCGTACAAGATGGGAGATTTGAGGAGATCGGGCCGAATCTGTGGAGGTTTTTAACAGATATTCCAGTCTTTTAGGTTGATTAGCAGGGGTGTTAAGTAGGGACGAGAAATGTGCAATTAAATTTACAAACCGAGCGTGACTGTTTGTGACATCGAGACGCGCAGCTGACGACACCCACGGAGTACAATCAGTCTGTGCACACAGTGTGTGGGTACATATTTATCCAAAGAGCAGTTGCACTTAAACTGATGCACGTGTGGCCTCGCAGATGTACACACACACTCACAACACACACCATATACACGCAAGCTCGCGAGTCGAGGCTGGTGACGAGATTAACTTTTTTACCCCAGCGGTTGCAACATCTGTCCCGCTACATCTGTGAGGACAGCCAGGATTCCCAACCGCTGCGCAACAAATCCACAGCTCGACCATTTACAGATTAAGCGCTTCAATAATACTCTCCTAAATTACACAGGAATCGCATTGCACTGACACACAATACTTCACAGACATTTATTGTAGACAGAATGTGCATTAAACTGGTTTAAAATGACCCTCATAAGTCATTCCACACTTACAGTATGTTGTTTTAGGCAAAATACCTCCTTATTGGACTAAGTGGATACTCATAATCAAATATGGCCACTGTCCCTTTAAGCTTTGCCATGGTGACCCAGTTTCTGGCCCAGACCCATGGCTGAGTGTAATTCAGTGGAGCTGTGAAGGATTCTGACTACTGTCCCATGTAATCACGTCAGAGGAGACAGGAATGGGAATTAAGATTTTTAACAAGGTTTTAGCCGAGTGGTCATCTTCTTCACAGTCATTGTTCCTCAGGCTTGAATCACATCAGATGGGAAATCTTACGTTCGAAAGTTTTAGTATCTTTAGATTAAATCTTTTCATGTAATTTGGCTTGTGGGGGGGGAATGATGTTGCTCAAAGGATTGCGAATTCAGTTTATCCCCCCCTCTCTTCTTTGCTCTCACAGTTGGAAATTTACCTGCTATTTTGTCTATTTTGCTTTTCATTCTGTTTCAGATCTGCGTTATTCAAGGTGAATGGTAACAGTAAACTGGCAAGGTCCCTCCCATTATCTGGGAATGGTCTGTCAAATCCCTCTGCACGTATAAGCTACTGGGCTATCTAGTGATTGAGTGGATGAGTGTGCCTGAAAAACCAATTACACCTGGACTGTGTGTGCTGAGTGCTGGTTGACAAATTTGAGAAAGTGGAAAAGAGTGGTACCTCTGGAAGATGGGAGGCACTTTTCGGTTTGAAAAGTTGAATTGTGCAGAGGCATCTGCACAGAAATCAGAAATGTAATTGCAGACTACAGGTTTAGCTGTCAGAAGTGTGACGAAGCTGAAAGCAGGCAATCATTCGGCTGGGGTCACATCGTCCTTTTTTTCTTTCTTTCTCTTTTTTTTTTTTCCCCCCCCTGCAGATCAGCCGCTGGATGCACGTCGTATAAGCACATATCCGTGTCTGTGCCCCTCTGATGTGGCTGTTCTGTTTGAGGAAGTGATGCAGAGGGTGCGCCGGACTGCCCGTGGAGCCATAGCACCAATTGCGTGTGTCCAGGCGGTGCGCGCAGCGGCCACCCTGCCCTACAATCAGGGAATGGAGCGGGAGAGAGAGCTGATGGCTACTCTCTTCACCTCTGGCCAGGCCCGCGCTCTGCAGTACTTTTTCTTTGCTCAGAGAGCCGTCGGCAGGTGGAGCATGCCCAGTGGAGCCCGCTGGGATACGAGCAAGCCCAGGCCTGTACATAAAGCAGCTGTGATTGGTAAGGGCTTTTGTGGCTTTTAATTTCTACTTGTCCCAAGCTTTTCATTTATCACAAGCACGTTGACTCATCTCACTATCCGAGTGGCATCTCCACATCCAGGTTGCCTATGGAAACTAAGCCCTTGTTTACACTTCAGCTGAGTTTTAATGGATGTCTCTTCCCTGCCGCGAGGCTTGGATGTATGACAATCTGGATATGTGAAGCTCAGCAGCTTGTGTATTAAAATTTCAGGCTTTGGAAAAACGCTATGCTGCCAACGTAAAACTATTTACAGTCTAGCATTGCACAAAATGTTCCGTGTATATATTTATATCCTGTAATTTAACAGAAATGTCTCTGGCATTTGCATGGCTGTTGGTTTCGATATTTTTTTTCCCCCCTATAGTCAGCGTGATTTTTGGTTTTGTTTTGTTTTTTTGTCGTTTCAGGTCTTGGCACCATGGGAAGAGGCATAACTGTTGCCCTTGCACAGGCAGGGTTCTCTGTGGTAGCTGTGGAGACTCAAGAGAAGCAGCTGATGGAGGCAAAGCAGAAAATATCAGGCATGTTGGAGCGAGGGGCTAAGAGACGTGGGGTCGCTCCTGCTCTAGACAAGATCAATTACGGCCGTAACATCCAGTCGGTAGCAGATGCCGACCTTGTCATCGAAGCTGTGTTTGAGGACATGGCTCTGAAAAAGAAGGTCTTTCAGCAGCTGTCCGCTGTTTGTAAACCTAGCACGTTCCTGTGCTCAAACACCTCTGGATTAGATATCGACCAGCTGGCCTGTCAAACCCGCAACCCAGAGCTTGTGGTTGGGATGCACTTTTTTGCTCCAGCCCACGTCATGAAGCTGCTGGAGGTGGTTTATGGGCCAAAATCCTCTCCTCTTGCTGTGGCAACTGCCATGCAACTGGGAAAGAAAATTGGGAAAGTCAGTGTGGCGGTTGGAAATTGTCGGGGTTTTGTGGGGAACCGCATGCTGAAGCCGTATTTGGAACAAGCCCTCTTCTTGTTGGAAGAGGGAGCCACACCTGAGTTTGTGGATCAAGTGCTGGAGGAGTTTGGGTTTGCCATGGGTGTGTTCAGAATGTCTGACCTCTCTGGGCTTGATGTAGGCTGGAAAGTGAGGATGGCTGATGGCTTGGCAATGCCCGACCCGACAACGGGACAGCCAACGAGGCTCCGACAAGGTCGTAGGTACAGCCCCCTGGGAGACCTGCTCTGCGAGCAGGGACGGTTTGGTCAGAAAACAGGCAGAGGGTGGTATCAGTATGATAAACCTGGCAGTCAGGTGGCTAAGCCTGACCCTTGGTTGCACAGCTTCCTGGATGAGTACCGAGCCCGGCACGCCTTGGTGGCACACCGCATAGACCACCAGGAGGTGCTGGAGCGCTGCCTCTATTCCATGATCAATGAGGGCTTCCGCATCCTGGAGGACGGAATAGCCGCAGGGCCTGAAGACATCGACGTCATTTACGTGTTTGGCTACAGCTGGCCTAGACACCGCGGAGGCCCCATGTTTTACGCTGCCACAGTTGGCCTAAACAAGGTCCTTGAGAGGCTCGAGCACTACTACCAGGCTCACCCTGATGTGCCCAGCCTGCAGCCCTGCCACTTGCTCAGGAAGCTGGTGGCCAGCGGCAGCCCACCAATCCAAAAGTGGAGGGAAGTGATTAAGAAAGTCCGCAGCCAGCTGTAAACAACATTTCAACTTTAATGTGTTAATGCACTTCTGAGTTTACAAGCTGATTAAATGTTGACTTGCATAATCAAATAATAAGAAGCACCTGTAAAACTAAATGCATTTACCTTAAACCAAAAAAGACCTCCTGTCTTTGCCAACCGCATTTGTTTTTTATCGTGACAGGAAAATTGCTCACCTCATAGATGAATATGTTCAACATGAAATACTAATAAAAACAGTGTCTATTGTGTATTAGTAGCAGTAATAAAGATTGATACAATAGATTGATCCAAAAAATTTATAGTGCAAATCTTCAGGAGTAAAACAGCATGCGCTTTAAGGAAAATTCACCATAATTTGGAAAAATAAACTGAAAGAAAAGTGTGACGGGAGTAGATGAACAGCACAGTACTGGGGATATTTGCAGGAAGCAAGTCATCTTAGTGTACGTGAAATGTCAGCTGATAAGAATAACAGAAGGAAGAAATTATACATCTTCAGCAGAGATGGATGACTGCGGGGAGGAGGGACCTCCTGTGGCGTTCAGCAAAGCACTTAGTCATTCTGTCTCTGGTGGACCAGACCACTGTGGAGAGGCTGGGCAGTGTTGTCTGTAGATAGACAGACAGATACTTTATTGTCCCCATGGGGGAAGTATGACTTGGACACTGCAAAGCCAGACCCCTCAACAAATATGGGCACTCGGCACCAACAGATACAGATTTAAAAGCCCAAAGGATAACAACATCACTCAGACTGGATTTGAACTGCAGCCTCGTTTTATTTTGATCTTACTGACAGTTTGTACAGTTTGACTGTATTATCATTTCTTATATTTTGTCTACTTTATTCACACACGGAGGTGGACACAATACTAGGAGTGGCCACAGTGAAAAACAGACCTGACCAGGCTTTGAAGCCAGCGAATGTATTGCAGCAGATGAAGCTCTACAGAGGAAATAAAACTAATAATTGTGAATAAAATGTCTTTACTTAAGTTTGTGCTTTTAAAATTGTTTACCAAAAACATATATGGCACATAATATGCTAACGTTTGAATGTAAATTAACTCTTTGCTTTTCCTGGTTGTCACTAATGATACTGCACAGTATAATCTGACTCTTCCAATAAAGACATTATTGTTGATCTGTTGTGATTTATACAAAAAAATGAATGATTGGTCCTCATCAAAATGAAGCAATATCTAAAATCTAAAGTTTATTTAGTCAAATAATGAATCATTAAGGAAAGTGTGATCGGTATAAACTGAATATATATATATTTCAAGTAAATTAAAAATTTTACATTATATTTATATATGTAACATGTAATCAGATTACTTCAAGCAGGCATTTTGGGGCTTGAATATGTTTAAGTGTAGCGTTGTGCACCGCTTTTATTTGGCTTCTTCACGGGGTTCCACGTCACTTGTCCACAGGGTCTCCTTGGGTCTGTGTTTTCTGCTGACTCAGCCGAAGCGATGACACAGGAGAGCCGGGGGAGACGCGCAACTCTAAATTGCGTTTATAGAAATCAATGGCTCACTCTCAAGTAAATCCCATCCCACGTCCAGCAATGAACAGATGTTCGGGTTGCCACCTAGCGGTAAAAACACTCCACGCTGAGCAGCTGGCTTGTGTTGATGTATTGCTCCATATTCTTTCTTTCTTTCTGTATTTATTTATTTATTTGCCCCCGATCCGCAGAGTTTCTGAAACCGTTAATGCACTTAAATAACGCACGCCCATGCGTAGGTGTTAAGAATAAATAGTACGATATCTAGCAGCAGACTTTCATGAATCAAAACCACCAATCAAAATGCTACTCTTGGGTGAAATGCGGAATATATTAATGTCATAGTCAGACGTTGATCTTTTGAAGTTTTTTTTTTTTTGGAGGGTCTGATGAAAGCCTGTGTGTGTGTGTTTGAAGTGTGCAGAGCAGCTGGCTTTGTGTTTGTGGACTCCTCCCGTTGTGTGATGAAGTTCAGATGCGCGCCGTTGTTCCGTACGCGCGTCACCAGGGGCACAGAGGAGCTTCCCGACGCGAGGGGTGGATGGAGAAATGTGTGGATCACGATCACGGGAGGCTTTGCACATGACATTACCCACCCCTTGCCTCCTCGTTTGACTGACGCCCTTCGACTTTTACAGGATATGCCGCCACCCTTTGTGTAAACCGAGCTGCTTTGGATTCGCACATCCAGCCACCGTGTTTCGTTTCGCGCCTGTCTTCCAGCAGAGAAGCTCTACGGGGGCGACTCGGACCGTAAACATCGCCTCGGTCACTGGCCTTTATGTTGTAGGTTACTCAGAGGAGCCTGAGTGCGTGTTTTATTTTTTTCCCCCCTTTGATACAGGAAATGTTGGCATGGCTGCCTCGGGAGCACATAAGTGTCCGAAGAGCGAGAAGTTGGACGAGGCGCAGGCTTTGGCCAAGAGCTGCGCTGGGAGACCAGATTTCCTGCCTTGTGATGGACTCTCCATATGCGCCACGCACAGTCACGGGAAGTGCTTCAAGCTGCACTGGTGCTGTCACTTGGGCTGGTGTCACTGTAAGTTTGTAGTTTATCAGTTGCATTTATTTCAAAGAATCGATTCTCACTGTCACCGAAGGCACTGCTGGCAAATGTGCGTGGTATTTGGTTGTTATGTGTATGTGTTTAGTTAAAACCACACAAGCAATGTTGCCTTCCTCCACTGAAAGGCTCAGAATGAGGCAGATATGAACTTTATTTGTTAAACAAGTTATAACGCTTCACAGATTATGTAAAGGTTGTCCGTCAGCCTGATTTCTTACATGCGCCTACAGGCAGCATTGGCTTCCCCTCGGGAGAAGCTGATGTCGTTTCCTGTTATTTGATTGTTTGTTTGGTGTAACTTCTTCATTTTATTGCTGTACTCGCTCCTGTAATACTTCATCATCAGTTTATATGTGATCGAAGTTAATTCTTCCTACCCTTCCTCTTGCTGTATGAATAGTTTATGCCGTCTAGACAATGGAGGCTGAACAATTCATAAATTTACTAGTAGATTTACTACTGTACAGCTCTGCTATTTTTTAAGCTTGTTTTTCAGGCTTTGTGAAACTGGTCGACACAGTCTGATGACACAAACCCGAGTCACCACTTTCATTTCTCTTTTCAGGATGATTCCGTGTTTTATTTTTTGAGCAAAAGTCCCGTAAAAGCACACAATGACCAGACACAGTTATTCCCCCATTGACCTACAGTCTGATAATTCACTTCTCTGTGCCACTGCTGTCCAAAAAAAGCAGATCACTCTTTTATTAGATTGGCAGTGAGTGTCGTTAACACTCACTAGGGCAGTAGAATATGTATTAATCCACTGCTGAAAATAGTCCCAGACTAAATCCACTATTTACTCCCGTTTTTTAGCATTATGCCTTAACTGTGAAAATTCCTGAGCCACAGCTGTCTTTGTGACCCATTTTTTTCAAGACAACAGGGAGGACTGTTGGAAGGGCTGAACCCTTAATATTTTTTTTTACCTACTGAAAAATGCAATTTGTTGACAACAACAAGAAATGGAATATTTCACCATCCTTTAATATGTTGTAGCCACAGCCCTCATCACATGCTCACACAAGTATCATGCACTCAACTGCTATTCTTGAGCCACAACACTGAACTCTGCAGCCTTGTAGTAATTTCATTTGTATCGACTATTGCATTGACTGTAATGGGGATGAAGTGCAGGGGTGCAGCTCCACTCGCACACGCACACTTTCCTTTCCTTTCCACTTTGTTTGTGCGCCACGCTCTCCGTCTCCATTTGAACCTCGCTCGACCTGACACCCTGAGACCACCGCAGATTCCCAGTAGCCGGGCCTGCACCTGACAGGATGTCCCTCTCTCTGTGCTGCCCTAATTTATCCCCATCTCTGGCTGCCCAGAAAATCCTCAGATCAGTGTAAAACACAATCACCATCTACCCTGCACCACTCACTCTGAGCTTATAGTGTGCAACTGCACAAGTCACATTGTAATCTTTGCTGTGTAATCGTTGGATTTAGACGCCCGCCTCCGTCCGGAATGAGCCAGGCGGTTTTTGAAATATCAGATGTGGCAGAAAAATGATGAATTCCTTCCAGTGTTTATTACAAGCCACATACAGCATTTATGACTCCACGCAAAGCCCATTCTGTGTTTCATCATTTGTCAACATTTAGACTTGCTCCTCCTTTCTGTTTTTGAAATGTTCATCACTCTGACTGAAAGTGTGCCACAAAATAGACACAGATCTTGTTATGATATAGGAGAAAGAACCAGGCATATCCTAATGGAGCTTCTCACCTTCTCATCTCCTTCCACTGCAATTCAAAGGTTCCCCTCGCACCACGGTGAAAATAAACCAGCTAAGGCTGCTGAATCAGGGCACCCAGTGAGAGAAGTACACTAGCACGCCTTCACAAAGCCTTCCTGCTCGGCTCACGCCCTTCTCCTCTAGAAATCCATAATAACACTGGATGCAAAAGCAGGAAATGTTGTAACAGCCTTATCTTGTCACGTTTTCATTTTGAATGTGCCTGCGACGGCCGCCTGGAGTATAAACTTATTCTGAAGCTGATAATTGTGCATTCACCACAGGGAGTCTTGCCGGGCTGCCTTTTTAATTACATTTTTAATAGGTTCCCAGCAAAACAAATACAAAAGGTCACTGCATATGAAGACTCGGCTCAGCAATTTAAATTCACAAACTAAAATTCTTTCCATTATCTCACCTGTAGAGCAGCGTGAGATGATTAGGTGTGACTTAACGCCTGGCTTCTTCTATTTTTATGTGCCTGCTGCAAACTGAACGCATCCACAATGCATTTCTTCCAGTTTTCAATACTCAAAGGACTCAAATCATGTCTGCAGGCTAGCACAGGAAAAATATGTTGGATGGTCTTCCAGTGTTTTCCATTTAGTTGTGGAAACTTTTGACAAAAAACAAAACAAAAAACGACCACGGAAAAAAGATGGTGGAAACTAGAATTAGATGTAGGTGGAAGCAATGTTCCCAGCTGGTGACAACATCAGTCCAAGCCTCTCATTAGCAGTAATTAGCTGTGTTTAGTGTCACCGCCAATATGTCATGTCTGATGAGAGCTTTTGCTCAAAGCGGCGCTGAAACCACCTGGTCTGAACACTTTTTTTCCCCTCCTTCTCTCACTTCTCACACTTTATTCTTTAAGAATTGATTACAATTACCAAGCAGAGCAATTAATTACTCATTACGAAAGCCTAACAGAGTCTGTAATGAGTCCTGAACAGTCTTGTCAGTCTGCTTGTACTCTGCCAGGACTAATTTTGAACTTGTAGATACAAGAAAATGGGATCTTTCTGTCAGGCTCCCAGGGCAGTCTCATCCGTTACACCACGCAGCAGAAGCTCGCAACTATTTCTAAAGGGAAATACAGAGATTTGTTGAATATAGCCCTGTGCTGTATTGACCGGTTTGGTGACGGGTTCAAAATTTATAGCACTGCCAAATCATAAAAAGCTTCACCGATTATAAAGGGATCAATATATTGTCAGCATGGGCCTGAGGGGATGTTTTTGATTGATTGCTCATGTTTAGGATCTGCAGCCCTTCAGTCGCTTTAAATGCTGGTGTATCAGTGATGGATGCAGAGCATCGCTTTTGTTTTAATGGACAGGTTTGTGTTACTGCCATCTGACAAGAATACCTGACCAAGTCAGTTCTGAAAAGACTCCAACTTTGTCGTGTTCTTACTTAATTAATAAGAAGCACGTGTCCACAGGATTCATAATTTCCACGCTCAGTTGTTGCCCATGCAGAGGGCTTCAAATTGTCTTCTTCTTTGCATAGAATTGAGGTTTCGGCTACTTTATTCAAATCGGTGTTTTGATCAAAATGAAGAAGGTTCATAGCATTTCTTCCTTCAAATAGTGCTAGCACAGTTTGCTGAACTATTTGTTATATACAGGAAAGTCTGCACAGCAGCCACTGTGATGGTTTGGATTTTAAATTCGTGGGCAGACAGCACAGGAGCTGTTTGTCCAATCAGATGCAGCTCGGGGTTTGTTGGAGGTTCCAGGAGAGAGAGTGCACCTTTTAGTTCTCTGTCTAGTGGTTTTTCCATTAGTGTGCATTGCTGGAAAGTAACATGAGCCCTTC